ACATTGCTGGGAAGTCTCATCTGTAATCTCACAAGATCTCAGGAAAAGGCATTTTCCTCCCCTGAGATAATATGCATGGTCACATGTCCTAACCACGTGTGCCAGATTTCCCGGAAGTAAAAAGGAGATCCCTCCTCATGTATCACTTCCCCCTCCCTTTTAGATCGTAAGCCCTCAGGGGCAGGGCCCTCCTTCCCATCTTGTCTTGAATTGTATTGTGATTGTAATATCTTCCTTATATTGTAAAGCGCTGCGCAAACTGTTGGCGCTATATAAATCCTGTATAATAATAATCTAGTAATCTGCCCTTAGTAAACATGGCCACTGTGAGAAGACTGGGGAAGGAAAGAGAAATAAGGTATGTAAAGAATACAAAGCCGGCAATTATCTAGAAGTATGTGTTTGTAGCTTGTCATTACTAAACATTTCTGAGGCTCCATTCACACATTAGCGGTTACACGCGGAAACGCGCTAAACAAAAAATAATGATTTCCAATGTATGTTGTTCACACAATGCGAAAAAGTCCAAGCGCAATTTTCTGGGCAGATTCTGCGCTTACAAGCTGTAGTAATAGCCACACACGCACAGAATCCGCGTGCATCATCCTGTTTGTGCTACCGCTATGTGTGAATGGAGCTTGAAGGTGCATTGGTTATTATTTTGAAGATATGAGTAAAGTTCCTCTTTAACCAAAATATACCTTATTTGTGTATCACTCGGCTGTAGATCCTCAAATCCTCTCTGAATTGGTGCTGTCACTGTCCTTCCTTCTGGAGGGCGGCTACTTTTGTTCCACATGGCCCCCGTGCGTGTTGTAAAGTCGCCACCGCTCAAAGCTCACTCCTGTGATGGACTACAATCTTACGTTTAGTTTACTAATTTGTATTGAGATTGTGTAATGTTACACCACCTCAGAAGATTCTGTATCATCCAAGCATGTCTTTGAAAGAAGAATAGATAAGGATTAGAGGTGCACCGAAATGGACATTTTAAAAACGAAACCGAAATAAAAACAATTGTCAGACCGATACGAAAATGTTTTTTATTTCATCATAACATGAGGACATTGTATGTTTACTATATCCACAATCATGAATGAACAGGAAGTGATGGAGATTACTTCCCATTCATTCATAAATGAGGATACTGTACATATACCATGTCCTCAATTATCTACAAACACTCACTGATCGCTGAGTGTTTGTATCTTGCTCTCCTCTCTGACAGCTGTCACAGGAGGCTGATCGAGCGGTGTAGGAGAGCTCAGCCTCCTGTGATAGCGCAGCCTGTCTCCGCCCACACAACGCTGTGATAGGAGGCTGAGCAGTGTGGGAGGAGACGCCGGCCGCTCACAGTGCTCTCCTCCCGCAACGCTCGGTCGGCTGTCACAGCTTCTCTCCTCCCCGCTGGGACACAGAGCAGCGCCCAGCGGGGAGGAAAGAAAGCAGGGATGCGCCGATGTATCGGCAGGAAAATTGCACTTTCGGCATTATGCCAAAAGTGCCATTTTCGGCCGATATGTTTCGGTGGCCGATATATCGGTGCATCCCTAATAAGGATTTGTACTTCTATGAGAGGTACTTACCGTCCAGCAATAGCCATCATTGCAGTGGCTAAAGCCTTAATGGTAAGTACCAATAATATGGAGAGACCATTAGATGAGACCAGAATCCAGATGTCATCATTACTATGGAAGAAATTATAATTGCAGAGGATATCGTCAGGTAAGCAGCCATTGACGTTGTACATTCCTTGACACGGACCATGCTTTCTCATGTGACTGCTAAGCAAGCTTTATAGCTCAGACCTTGGATAGCAGATATCTCTCTTAAAAAAACTTGCTGCAAGATACCTTTTGAAGGTCAATCCCTTTTGGGTAATAAGCTAGATGAAGCTATCAGTAAAGCTGTGGGAGGAAATCTGGGCTTATCCCACAAGACTGAGAAGTCTAATAAACCCGGCTGAGCTTTATGGAGAAAGTGAAGTGGAAACTTCTGGTCTGCATACTGGTCTTAGGTCATTGGATCTTAGAAAGTAGGGAAGCCAGTGACACAGCATGACAATCAGGAAAGTAGCATTTTCAGGAGGAAAGGTCAGAAATGGCAGCCTACATGTTTCCTTTAAAACTAATAAGATCATATGGAGATGACCTTTAATAAGTCCCTTTAAAAGAATGTTTGTCAGTAGTATAATCTTTCCAAACTCGATTTAGGACTAAAAAGCAGACATCTAGGGGTCCCTACACATTTACCTTTAGTAAAGTCCCAGCAGGAATCCAAATGGACTTTAATCTGCAAATACTGACACTTCCTAAGAGTGTCATAGCTGGCCTGTCACCTTCCTTCTTCTACACCTTCTTATTGGTCAGTAAGGTGATCCATGATAGTGCTGAGCGGCGAATGGGCCAACATTCAACACTTCTAGGAACCTTATATAGTTGTATGTTAAGGGAAACAGAATTCTGGGGACTTTGGAAGGCTTTCATAATTCTGGGGACTTTGAAAGGCTTTCATGCATATGTACCTGCTTTTTAGTCCAAGATCCAATGTGCTTAAAGGAGAACTATGAGGGGAGTGCTTTTCACTCACCACATAGTTTTAGCCGACCTGTGACAACGAGACTGTCACAGGTCGACTCAGTAGATCGGGAGGTGAGCGAACACATGCCGGCGTTCGCTCACCTCTCGATCCTGTCACAGCTCTCTGCCGTGACAGGGGTGGGGCTGGATTCCCCCCTCTCCGATCCGCCAGCGCTGACTGGCGGAACGGACGGGGGAGGGGGCGGGTACAGCTGGCTCTGCCCCTAGATAGGCAGAGCCAGCTGTCAGTCACGCAGCTGGGTGGATCCCAGCACAATTGTCGGGATCCGCTTCAGCTGCGGCGTCTCAGTATACCGCGAGCAGCAGCTCACGGTATACTGCGGCGTCTCAGTATACCGCGAGCTAAAGCTCGCGGTATACTGAGCCTGGTGTGACGGGAGGAAGCTAGTTTGTGTCCTTCAGTTACCCTAAGCAGAACTATAGGGAAAAGCCTTAACCCCATAGTTCTCCTTTAAAGAGTCTGCATCCACGGATGTCAATGGTATCTGTGTGACAGTTGGAGATGCTTCTGAGATCATTCAGAATTCATTGATAGGTACATTTGACTTGCAGTTGAGCTCCTTCTGGCCTGCTTTGAGTGGGTTTTATGGGAATGCAAAACCCATATGAAGCGTTCAAAAGCCCAACTGTCTACCCAAGCCCTAATGTATATGTACAACCATTGTTTGTTTAGGTCAAGTCTTTATTTTTATACATGGGTCTGATAGAGAGATTTACCCTCAATAACTTACCCACTTACAGACAGAAAGTAATGTAAAATCTGAAACATGGACACGGACAAACATTTTTACTTCTGTCAATGTGGCTATTGGAAATTTTCCATTAGGCCCCTTTCACACGGTTCTGATCAGAAGGGGATCCTTGCACAGATCCCCTGCTGATCAGAACAGATGTCACCATTGTGACATCCATGGCTCTCTAGTTCTTTCCTACAGCTTGCTTTGAAGGAAAAAACAGGTAACCGGACCCATGTTGGTCTATGGGGAGTCGGATGTAAACAGACATGTGTCCGTTTACATCAGATGATCCCGATCTGGCACGATCAGGTCTGGCTAAATGGAACACTGTTCCGTTCGTTTTTCCGGACCTGGCCAGAGTCAGAGGTAACCGGATGTAAACGGACGCCCATCCATTTAGATCCGGCTGCCCATAGACTTACATCGGGCTTCTGATCCTGTCCGCCTGGAAAGCTGACAGACGGACCTGATTGGAATGCCCGTGTGAAAGGTGGCCTACTTCCCTTTTGGTGAAACTGTTGTCACTGAAACAGTAAGTGAGAACAAATCTGTTTATTAGACCCCCTGATAGCATTTAAAGCCTGACAGGAGTTCTAATCCTGTCCCACTCTATCCAAAACTAAAACATTTTTGCCAGACATACACTTTAAGTGCATTTTATTATTCTGGTAGACATTTTCCTCTCTTTGTTGGATAACCATATTACTTCAGGATCACCCATGAAACCCTTGTTGCCCTGAACCACGGACACTGTTAAAGTTGACCACACATAGCATTTATAAATTATAATAAAGCAGACCAGAAGTCAGGGATTTCAGTTTAGGGAATATTTTTTATTCTGCTTTAAATATTCCTTGAGTTTCTTAGACTGTTTCAGTCACAGTGTCCGTGTATATAACACACAACAATATCCTTTAAGAATGAGAAATACAATGTAACACATGAAACTGCATCTGCAGCTACAATACAAAAAAAATATTTTTTACAAAACCTTTTTATACTCGAAAGCATCTTTTCAAAAGACATAATATTCAGATCATATCACAGAACATTCTGCATTTAAACACATCAGTGCTATTACAAAGACTTGCCTTCTGTATCCTGGAAGACATTACAGTTAATACATATCAACTTTATAAAAGTTACATTTAGGAGACAAGTACACTCTGCCTTCTTTTACTGTTGTGAACCTACAACTTCCTCCAGGCTGACTGGTCCTTGTAGTTCCACAAGAGCTGCAGGTGCAAGCTTGCTCCATACTAAGTTAGGAGATCATTCTGTAGACTAAACTCAATATTCTACAGAATGAAGTCCTTAGATTCCAATAGCACTGCTATTTACTTGGGTATTTCTTGAGGAAATATAGGTTAAAGCATTTGCATACAAATGCATTGAGAACATATGATAAAAGTAATGTACAATACTTTTTTTCCCATTAGGACTACTACAAATAAGGTCAAATATCTACAAATATTATAGAAAATTAGACTCTTGTTCACCGTCAACTTAACTTCTTAGAAGTTACACATTTATAATGGAGAAGATTGAGCAGATGTTGCTTCCTGTTGCTGTAGAACAATACTCTGATATATCACGTTAATATACAGCCCTCCATTAAACAAACCACATATACAAATATTATAGAACCTCAGTACACAGTACAGAGACATCAAATGATACGCATTATCACAAATGATACACATTAGAAAGACCTTGCAAAGGTTCACATCTCTGAGTCCTTTTTAAGTTACAGAGATATTTCTCTCTTGAAGGAGAGATGTTAAACTGTAATCCCAAAGAATAACCTGATGCTTTTCAGTCTTTGCTGCTGTTGAGTCTTTGTTGCTGTATCCAAGCATACTCATGAAAAATGAACACGGTTCCATACCGACAGAGGTCCACGTGACTTATTTCAAGCCATATCTGTCCCTCTTTGGTTGTACAGTCCTCTAACTTGGCAGACAACATCACCAAGGCCTCCATATCTTGGCCAGGCTGCTTGCTACTGTGGCTTGCTTTGAATCGCTGGAACTTGCAAGATAAGGTATGGCAGGAACCTTCTGAGGCACGGTCAAGTGGTTCAGCAACTTCTTCTGCGCCTCTCCACTTTCCGGATAATGGCACAAGAACTGCAATGCTTCTGTAACACACCAGGAATATCCTTGGTTGTAATCCTGCTGTAAGCGTTCCACACTGATTGTTTGGGGTTGAGCTAGAATAATAAGAATACATTCCATTAGACCTATGTTCAAAAAGTTTCACTCAAAAGCATCATCATCATCAAATGAAACATCATATGAAGGACCTATAGAAAGACTGAAACTTACTTTTTTGTTGTTGCAAGTAGCTGACTGCCATCTCCAGTATATCAGCTTTCTCTAGCTTGACATTGGGTTGCTGTTTATGGAACTCCTTTTCCAGGAGACTCTTCAGCTGTTCGATGCTGCTGTTGATCCGGTCTCTACGCATCTTCTCCACAATGGGTTTTCTCAGCTAGGAAAATAAATAAGAAAAATACATTAATCAATCATTCTCAGTGTATTTTAGTACAACAGAAAAAAATACAAGAACAGGCACAAGGATGGTTTATCAGAAATGGAACTTACTTTGTTTTTTTCCTTTGGGGAAAGGTTATCCATAGATACGCTTGTAGGAGCCATGGTCCAAAGTGTATCAGGAGCTGTGGCTGCTCTGATGCTGAGCCAGGGGCGATCTGAGATGTTCAGCCAGTCCTCTCCTATTTATACCCCCCAGCTTGCATACAAATGCCTGAGTCCCAAACTTGTCAGACTTTCCCACACTCGTATAGCCAATACATGCATTCAGCTGCACAATAGGAGAGGCATCTATTACAGCATGGTAAATTGACTGTGAATTGCCTGAGGATAATACCATGCTCCCAGTGGAGCAGGTGGAGAGTGTGCTAGACAATAGAGACAAGCTTTAGAATGAGGTGGGAGAATGTGGGAAAGAGCTTCCCATCACTGTAATCAAACCAATTCCCAATGAGAACATGGATACGGCAGCATGCTGCTCTTTTTGAAGTGTGCCTGTCACACACGTACATCGAAACCAGATGTTGTAGACCTGGGCGCACATCTTGGTTTATCATCCTGTGATTAGTTTATAAATCTAATTGCAAATGTCTTCAATTAAGAATTGTTGCCCAGAGCCACAAATCAGTTGGATCGGTGAAGTAAGAACCCAAATTAGTTGCTCAAGATTACTGCTCAGTTCTTAAAGTAGTAAACCCTATTCTTTTTTATATGAAATAAATCACCTATACCAAGGAAACCTACCACATCAACTATTTCTAGTTTATATATACCCAATCACTTAACCTTTTCGTTAGCTGCTCCTTATGAATCTATGCTGCTAACTCAACATCTGGGTAGGGAGAAGGGAGAGCGCAGGAAGCACGCACTGTAGAGATCACATGACTGCTCACATCAGATCCTTTTTAGCACTGCGTATACGCTACCCATCCATGACGCGCCCCCATCATCTTTATATCATGCTTACCCCTTGGTTTGTCTCTCATCCCAAGCGCCACAATAGTAAGGCACATGTGCGCAAGGTCACGAGTTGAACGCATGCAAGGGTGTCTCCATGGGACCACTCAAGGCACAGGAGACACCCAAGAACAGGAAAGCGGGGGCAGCAATCATGGGACTGGCAAGAGTGGCTATAAAGGCAATCTTGAAAATAAAAAGAGGGAGTAAACACATAAAATGTCAAACAAAAAATGAGTGTCTAGTACACATTGCAGAAAGCCTGCTCAGTTATGTTATATACAAACACAAAATGTGGAAAGGTTGAAAAGCTTATAACTCTAAAAATTTCTAATGTAACCGTGCAAGATCAGAGTCCATAATAATAAAACATTTATAGCCACAATTATGAGGCTTTTGATTAGAATATCTGCCAATATAGACTTTAATGTTCACCACCGTTCCTGCAGAACACAACCCCAGCTGCCTGTAGGTTCTGGAGCTTTGCTAAATTACAGTACCTTCTAAGGGCTCATGCACACGAGCGGCTTAGCCCATATAACTTAAATTCCCCCATCAGGGGGCACAGGTGCTGCGTACAACTTTCCATAGAAGTCGATGGCTGTACGTGGGTACGCCAGTATTTGAATACAGTCATTTGCTGTATGCATACAGACATACATACCTGGAGACAGAGATGTACATCTGTTTGCATACGTGGATATCAGCCGGTACTTGCATATAGCTGTGTATGCGTACAACTGTTGACTTCTATAGGAGGCTGTATGCAGCACCTGTGGCTCCTGATGGACAGCATCATTCAACCCACTTACTTTCAATCCAGGTCGACTGTAACCGGGCAGTAAGGAGAGTCAGCACAGTGATGAGCTCATCTCTCGGTCAATCTGCTCTCTCCTTCTTTCAGAATGCTTCTTGTCATCACATAAAGTTATTGACTTCTTGTACTGCTTCTTCCTCTCACACTGCAGCCCTGCTGTACAGGTACTTACACTGTTTGCATTTAAAGAATATATTTAATGCCGAGCTGCATTCATTTGTGTCCTTTATATCTGCCTGGAGTTCAGGTTTAATGGGACAGAGAGAGCAAACAGAAATTCTAACCCTTCTTTATCCAAAACAGACACAAAAAACTTAGCTGGAGTTGTATTTTACTGGCTGCTCTCCAATGATGTCTTCTTTGAATATTTGCAGACTGTCAGTGTGCAGAGGAAGTACAAATGTGAAGTACAAATGTGACTTGAGCTGTCAGTGTATTTACATGCTTGTCTGCATATTTGTCTTTTTGCATAATCTATAGCTTTCTTCCTTGCCGGCCTTTTGTAGATCATAATGGGTAGCAGAAAAGAAACCAACCCCGAATGACAACAGCTAATGTGGAATATTAAATGGAAAGCTGGAGATGTCCATGTTTAGGCCGGGTTCACACTTGTCCAGTGTGTAAATATGCATTGCGTCAATTCATTCATTTTGAATGGGCTACCAATACACCCCGGACTGTCCAAAACCGCACCTGACTCCTTTTTTGGGAACGCAATGCAAGGCAATGAAAGCACTGCATAAAAAATGGACGGCTGTGCAATGCAACAATGCACATAAGGGGATAGTGTGAACCCAGCCATAAGGAACGCCAAAGAGTCATCACAGCACTGACTCACTCCTAAACAGCTTAGTCTGTGGATACTATTAGACAAAAAGTCTCTTTTAGACAAACTGGACATATTACATATACATACATATACATATTAGTATCACCGATGTGACATCCATATCCGGCCAGTTTTTCCTCTATCTTGCGGTGCAAGAAAGAACTAACACTGCCGGAGCCCATGTCGGTCAATGGGGAGTTGGATGTAAACAGACGTGTGTGCGTTTAATCAGATTTCCCCCCGAACAATATTCAGTTTTTTGGGACGTGGTCGGAGTCAGGGGTCACCAGAAGTAAACGGATGGGCGGAAGGACGGATAGACTAGCACTGGCGATCCGGTCCGCCCATGTGAAAGGGGCCTTAAAGGAGAACTATGAGGTGAGTGCTTTTCACTCATCTCATAGTTCTAGCCGACCTGTGACAATGAGACTGTCACAGGTCGGTTTAGTAGGTCGGGAGGTGAGCAAACACATACCGGGTTCGCTCGCCTCTCGATCCTGTCACGGCTCTCTGCTGTGACAGGGGGAGGGGCTGGATTCCCCTCTCCCCGCTCCGATCTGCCAGCGCTGACTGGCGGAACGGACGGGGGAAGGGGCGGGTACAGCTGGCTCTGCCTCTAGATAGGCAGAGCCAGCTGTCACTCACGCAGCTGGGGGGATCCCGTCATCTAAGTCGGGATCCGCTCCGGCGTCTCAGTATACCGCGAGCTGTAGCTCGCGGTATACTGAGCTTAGGGTAACGGGAGGATGCTAGTTTGTGTCCTCCCGTTACCCTAAGGAGAACTATGGAGAAAAACACTGACCCCATAGTTCTCCTTTAAGGCCATGTCACCAGCACGAGAATTCCAGATTAGTGCAAATCCATTGATTGACAGATGTCACTCAAATGACAAGCGCTTTTGGGGCCTCTCTGAGCCTGATGAAGGGGACTCTGCGCGGCCCCGATACCGATTGTCATTTGAGTGATATTTATCAATAAATGGCTTTGCACTCATCTGGAATTCTCATGCTGGTGTGCAGGTGACATCTTGATTCAAGTTCTACTATTTGCGGTGCCATCCGTAGTCATTATGAGCACCCGGTTACTTTGGGATATCTGGTAAGGAGTGCTGCAAGACATATGGACACTGTTCTTAGGGCCATGTCAGACTAGCAATTTATTTGCAGCAATATTTCTTTTTATGCAGTATCTTGCTGAAGAAATAATTTTTTTATGGAATTGCAAATTCAGTAATTTTACAGCATTTTGTGGCTCAGTGATTTAGCATTGAATTGAATTTGAGCAGCGTTTCATGTCAGCAACAAGGCTGCCAGGTATAATGGCTGTACATTCACCCCTATGGCTTTGCTAAGTATCACTGAAGGAGAGCACACCCACCCAATGTAAAATGTAACAGGGACAAATTGATTCTTAATGACAGATCGCTGCTAATTGCTGGCATTAGTGATGAATCACTGCTCTAAAATCACCTGTCTGACATGGCCCTTATTGTACAGTCTGGGTGCAAATGCCTTTAGACCAAAAACTATGTTGTGTAAGGGCGTATACCAAGGGTAAGCAAAGTCTTGCCATCCAGGTGGTGAAACTACAAATCCCATCATAATTCTGCCTTTAGGAGTCATGTCTGTGTCTGTCAGCATCTTGCAATGCCTAATGGGATTTGTAGTTGCACTTCACCTGGAGGGCCGGAGTTTGCCTACCACCTGGTCTATACAATCCTCTCAATCCATATCTAGTCAGGTAGGACCTTTTACTACACAGGCAATTTTAAATCTATTAGAGATTGCACAATGGGTTCGTAATGTGCATAGCCAACTTTAGGGAGTTGTTTAGGGAGTTAGGTTGTAACATTTGTGTCCAGCTTAATGATGCTTGGAAACAGACACCTGCCATCCAATGCTTGGATGCAGGATCAGATATCGGGCTGCGTGTGTGAATGCAATACGGATGATTTACTTAAAGGAGAACTGTCACAGGTCGGCTCAGTAGATCGGGAGGTGAGCGAACACATACCGGCGTTTGCTCACCTCTCGATCCTGTCACAGCTCTCTGCCGTGACAGGGGAGGGTCTGGATTCCCCCCTCCCCGCTCTGATCCGCCAGCGCTGACTGGCAGAACGGCCAGGGGAGGGGGCGGGTACAGCTGGCTCTGCCTCTAGATAGGCAGAGCCAGCTGTCACTCACGCAGCTGGGCGGATCCAGACATAATTGTCGGGATCCGCTTCAGCTGCGGCGTCTCAGTATACCGCTGATTTCCATCATCCAATCATATGCAAGCAAAAATAATGTTTTTTTTTAATATTCCTTGCATGTGGTTGGGTATTCTTTGCAAAGTATAATTTCACCAAATTCACCAAGCTAAGGGAAATTTCCCCTGCAATGTGCAAATTTCCATATCTGCCTGACTAAATACAATCCCAATCTCTTCAAGCTGGCATTTTCAAAAAAAGAAGCATACTGATCAGGTTGGAAAATTGTGTACGGTATATTATTGTTCTTCCTCTTTGTGCAGATATAATTAATGGTGCCACCCGT